AACGTATACGTCCAAAATATTACAAAGCACTCAACCAATATTTTATTTTATTGTTAAATAAAAGTTTATATTAATGGTGTTTGGACGGTTGTTTAATATTTTTAGGCATCAAGTTCAAGGGCACATACTATTTTGGCTTTTCTCACGCCTTGTTTTAATTTTTCGCTATCGGATAAAATAAATGAAACAAAATTAGCTGACATAATTAAACAAGGTGATATAAGAGGTTCAAAAGAGCATGTGTTTATCATTTACTGTAGGCTTAAATGTTAAAATAGTCTTTATGTTTTATCCTATGGTCAATTTGGTTCCCGTGTCTTTAATTTGACTAAATTATTTTCTATGTTTATCTTACTTATCCAATCCTAGATAATTTGGTAAAGAACCGTTAAATTATGATAAAAATGTAATCCCGTGGAAAACCCATTAAATGCACGCGAGATCACATGATTGACGACGATGCTTCAAAATATTTACGCGTTAGATAGTCTTGCGAACATCTAATTTGCAACCCATCAGATAAATGTCTGAGTCTTATGGCTAGAAAATAGTTTGAGGGGTCGTTGCAAATCATTTGATCTCGTGTGTATTTAATGGGTTTACAGTGAAATTACATTTTCGTTTCAATTTTAATGGTCAACAAATTGTCTAAGATTGGCTAAGCAAAGTAAATACGATGATTAATTTGGCCAAATTAAAAACACGCGAAAGAAATTAACCGATAGAATAAAAGACAAGGACCATTTTGTCATTTGAGCGTTTTCCTTAATATTATCATGGAGACAAAGACAATACAAGCTGGGAAGCTTCTGTGTGTTTGGTAATGAGAAATGGGTCAGTCCATTGTGGACATCCAAAGCCAGTTGGCAATTTAAATAAATTTGATCATGTTTTCATTGTTGTTTCACTCACCAACAAATTTTTATTGTTTTCTGATGAAAAGTGAAATTGTCCTTGATCTAGTTCTTGTGTCTTTATCATTTGGATGGCATAATGTTTTTTCTTTTCTAATTACTTTATTATATCACATTGTTTACAATAATTTGTAAGTTGTTGCCTGTTGTAGATTTTATTCATAATTTATAGAGTTACACAAGCTCGTAAAGACAAGAAAAGTTTTTCTTACACGAAAGTTATATTGGGGTTATTTTGGTGAACAAATAAGCCGTGTACATTGAACCTAAAACTAATTGATAAAAGATAACGAAATCAAGGACAAAGCTAGAAATATCTTATTATTGGGGGCAATTGGAAAAACAACTAACAAAACCTTATTATGGTATGCCTTATACCCACTATGATAATGGAGATAATTTCAAATGACGATATATATATATGTATGTGTGTGTGTGTGTGTGTGTGTGTGTGTAGCTAAATAATAAATTACTTGAGTAGCGACATTTGCCCCCAATAGTCCTTTATTAACTCCGTCCATGAACGAAATTCCATGTTGTTTAAATTACTATAAACATTTTACTTCTTTGATGTGAAACTCATACATATCAATATCACCAAACAATAACATAAAAACAACTAGCCATGAGGGCCACATGGCACACTCACATAGTCCCGTGAACATCATCGGGAATATCTGATCAATCATCTATGTTTATGTTTCCAAATTTAATCTATCTTGCATTACTCAGCATAAAGTGTTGACTCAAAGGAATATCTGATCAATCATCTCCTAAAAGCCAAACCATGAGGGCCACATGACACACACACATAGTCCGGTGAACATCATCAGGAATATCTGATCAATCATCTATGTTTATGTTTCCAAATTTAATTTATCTTGCATTACTCATCATATAGTGTTGCCTCAAAGAAATATCTAATCAATCATCTCCTAAAAGCCAAACCATGAGGGTCGCGTGGCACACTCACATAGTCCGGTGAACATCATCAGGAAAATGAGATATTTACCATACCAAAAGCACGTTTCAGTACAACAAACATCATAATACAAATAGTTCAATTCTATAAATAAAAATTCAAGTCATTTATATTTTTACGCTTGGTGTAGAGCCGTGGTGCACTGAAAATTTTCTCACGAGAAAGGAGGTTCGAAGGGGGTTCCACCACCGAGTTCATCGTATCAACCTTTCGGAATAAGGCCCTCCCAGGTGGGCCTCGTCCTTAAAACTCTAGAGGTATCCAATTGCCACGTGTTCGTAGCCCACGATGGATTGAATACGCTCCAGATAATACGACAAAATCAAAGCCCAAGTTACAAATAACTTTTATTATTTTTTAAATTTTGTTGAAAAGAGCTCCGTTAATAGTGTGACATCCCACATCGTCCAGGGGAGTGATCCTTGTATGTATATTCTCATCCCTACTTAGCACGAGGCCTTTTGGGAGCTCACTGGCTTCGGGTTCCATGGGAACTCCGAAGTTAAGCTAGTAGAGCACGAGAGCATTCCCAGGATGGGTGACCCATTGGGAAGTTCTTGTGTGAGTTCCCAAAAACAAAACCGTGAGGGCGTAGTCGGGGCTCAAAGTGGACAATATCGTGCTACGGTGGTGGAGCGGGCCCGGGCAGTGGTCCCCCCCGGGTCGGGAAGCGATAGTTTGGTATTAGAGCCTAACCTTGGCCGTGGTGTGCCGACGAGGACGTCGGGCCCCTAAGGGGGGTGGATTGTGACATCCCACATCGCCCAGGGGAGTGATCCTTATATGTATATTCCCATCCCTACCTAGCACGAGGCCTTTTGGGAGCTCACTGGCTTCGGGTTCCATGGGAACTCCGAAGTTAAGTGAGTGGCGCGCGAGAGCATTCCCAGGATGGGTGACCCATCAGGAAGTTCTCGTGTGAGTTCCCAAAAACAAAACCGTGAGGGCGTAGTCAGGGCCCAAAGTGGACAATATCGTGCTACGGTGGTGCAGCGGGCCCGGGAAGTGGTCCCCCCTGGGCGGGATGTGACAAATAGTCCCCTTAGGCTGTGACAAAAAGGGTAAATTGCGATTTGACTCCCTGAACTATCATTCCAATTGAAAATTGTTTTCTTGAACTATTTTTTTGGTAAAATTAACCCTCTGAACTATTTAAAATGATTCAATTAACCCTTTGCCATTAGATTGCAGAATCAATTCCGTCAAATTTAAGGGCAAATTAGTCATTTCATCTTTAATTGTTACTTGTCAGCTATAACCATTAATAAAATTTTACACATAGACACAAAATAATTTAAAATTATATAGCGTAATGAGAAAACATAAAAAACCAAATGTTTACATAACAGACCATCCACATTGTTATCACACATTATTTTGTTTTCAAATACATTATTTTGTCATAATTACATTGTTAGTTACAGTTAACAAGTAAGAATTGATGAAGGAATAACTAATTTTTCTTTGAATTTGACGAAATAGTGGATGGAATATACCGGTAAGGGGTCAATTGGCTTATTTCAAATAATTCATGGGGTTAATTTACCAAAAAAAATAGTTCAAGAGGTTAATTTGAACTGGAATAATAGTTCAAAGAGTCAAATAGCAGTTTACCCGTGACAAGAAAATGTCGTCACGAGCCTTCCACTACCGGACAAAACCTTGTCGTGCTCAACGGTAGGCTCGTGGTTTCAAGGATGTGACAAGGATAAAATCAAAATTTTATCCTGGTGGTTTGGGACGGAACCCTTTGTCGCCACATGGTATCGTGTCGGACGCACGCAAGAAACTCTTCTCTTTTTTTTTTTTTTTTTTTTTTTTGAATTTTCAGTGCACCAACAAATTTAGACTCAAAGCTTATATTTTTTTTGACAAAAAAAAAAAAAAAAGCTTATATTTTTCTTTTAAAATTATACTAATTTTCAATTTTTTCATAGTAAGTATCACTGAGTTGTAAAAAAAAAAAAAAAAAAAAAAAAAAAAGTTAGCTCTTACATATAGTGATTTAATATATTTTTGAGACGATTATATCTTAGATTAAACTTGTGCTGTTGAGTGATACGTATCATTGTGTTTTACTTTTTGTATTGTTAGTAAAAAAATATACGTAAAAAATAGTATAAAAGTTTGCACATATAATACGTGTGGTATGATGTCATGAGTTAAGAGTAACTAGAAAAAAATGTAGAAGATATATATGAGATGAAAGAATAGAGTTCAAAAGTTGTTTTTGGCTTCTAATTTTATAGCGATAATTTTACACATGTTGTTCTTATTACTGAGGAATAGGAAAACAAATTTACAAGTAGTGAAAACATTTTAAAAGAAAAGTATCTCATTGTAAGTGAGATGTCTTACGTTCAATTCTCGTCGAAGACGAATTTGAACTATATTATTGCTAATCCATTGTAAGGCTTAACACATTATCTCACCCCTTAGTGTAGATATTAGTTGTTAAAAAATACACACACACACACACCAGAAAGTTGAAGTCAAGGCTCCAAATGATAATTTATACCTAAATCAATCCACTATTATTCAACCAAGATAATACATATCAAAGTTTAAGAAGTGAGTGACAAATGAGATTTGTTCAAGGCTCATATATTTCGAAATGAGGTCATAAACTAAATCATCTAAAATACAATAATGGTATAATTTTTGAAGTTTGTAAACACCAAAATAACAATTTAGATTCGCTCTGGATCTAACCATCCAGAGTTTAAGGACTACATAATTTGGACCACTCAAATTGAATCCGATTGTCCCCAATCCACTAGCCAACGTCACACAAATTAAGTGCTCCAATTTCTCTTTCGTACAAGCCAAATATCCGAATTTCTTCGCCCATAAACTCCGAAAAATAAGGTTCAGGAGGATCCAAATTCCCAAAATAGCAAAACATTTACAACGACATTTTATTATTTATGAGAAAATAGAAAATAATTAAATAAAAAAAAGTGCAAAAATACAGTGTGAAGCCAAAACATAGGTGTCAGTAGCCATTCCCATCTTTTTAACCCATTCCATTCGCACTAGAGACCACGCCACAACGCACACCCTTCTCTCTCTCTCTCTCGCGCCCCCCCCCCCCCCCCCCCCCAATCTCTCTAAAACTAAAAAAAACCGGCAGCAGAAAGCAAAAAAATTACAAAAAGTGGGTCCTATTGAACAGTTGAATTCGGCCGCCTGCTTTGTCGTCTCTCTCGTCTCCGTCTCCACCACCGTCGTTCCTCTGCGTTTGACTCTCAATCTCTCTCCCTCTCTCTCTCTCTCTCTCTCTCTCTTAAATTTGTACTCTCTTTCTCTCTCTAAACAGTGATATATTTTTCTCTCTCCCCATGTGCTCTCTTATTTCTTACAAGTGTCTTCTCACCGCTCTTCCTTCAGTAAACCCAAAACGAGGAATCAAAAAATTCAATCCGATTAAAGTACAACAAACCCAGCACTTCGCACAACAGAGAGAAACAAAAGTCCACTGCTCCTTTCAGTAAACCCATCACGTCCTGTCCGCAAACCCAGCAGCTCTGCTCGTATGTCCATCAAAGGGGTCGTTTTGCTCAGGGTACTCGCTTGGTTTTGAGCCCTTCTTGCTGGGTTTCTGAAAATCTTGCTGGGTTTGAGAGAAACAGAGATTATAGAGGCATGGCTGGTAGTAATGAAGTCAACGTCAATGAATCCAAGGTAGTTCCTCTCTCTCCTTATTTTTCTCAAAATTTACCCTTTTTTTTTTCTTTCCATTTCTAAATTGGGTTGCCTGGCAAGGCGACGATTAACTCGTACTGATAACTACTTCGTTTTTAGTTTTTCGAACTTTCGTTTGGGCCAAAATCCAAAAATTTTAGTTGGATTCTTTCTTTTTTTTTTTACCTTTTTGGTTTGGTTTCAAGGGGCTTGAATTTTCGTAGTTCTTTCTAATTCTTCCATGTTTGTTGTTGAAGGTACACTAATTAGAGTTTCATTCGGTACAAAATTTTGCAAAACAAGGAGTTTTTGATGGATTAATTTCTGATTTCTCTAGTTCTTTCCTTTTTTTTTGGCAGAAAGTTGTTCCGCTAAACACATGGGTACTAATCTCCAATTTCAAGCTAGCTTACAACCTCCTCCGCCGCGCTGACGGAACATTCAACCGCGAGCTGGCGGAGTTCCTCGAACGGAAAGTCCCCGCCAACATAACTCCGGTTGATGGGGTTTTCTCGTTTGATCACGTCGACACAGCCACCAGCCTCCTCAACCGTGTTTATAAATTTGCCCCCGGAAACGAGTCGCAATGGGGCATTCTGGATCTTGAGCAGCCCTTGAGCACCACCAAGGTCGTCCCAGTCATAATCTTCTTCCACGGTGGAAGCTTCACACATTCATCCGCCAACAGCGCCATCTACGACACCTTCTGCCGCCGCCTTGTCAACACTTGCAAGGCTGTTGTAGTCTCTGTAAACTACCGCCGTTCACCGGAACATCGGTATCCTTGTGCTTATGAAGACGGATGGGCGGCTCTCAAGTGGGTGAAATCGAGAAAGTGGCTTCAGAGCGGGAAGGGTAAGGACTCGAAAGTTCACGTTTACCTAGCCGGAGACAGCTCGGGCGGCAACATTGCTCACCACGTGGCGGTCAAGGCGGCGGAAGCGGAGGTTGAGGTGCTCGGAAACATCCTTCTCCACCCGATGTTTGGGGGGCAGAAGAGAACAGAAACAGAGAAGAGACTGGATGGGAAGTACTTCGTAACAATACAAGACCGTGATTGGTACTGGCGGGCATTTCTGCCCGAAGGCGAAGACAGAGATCATCCGGCGTGTCACGTTTTCGGCCCGAGGGACAAGAGCCTCGAGGGCTTGAAATTTCCCAAGAGTCTTGTTGTTGTGGCTGGTTTCGATCTCATGCAAGATTGGCAATTGGCTTATGTGGAAGGGCTAAAAAATGCAGGGCAGGATGTGAAGCTTCTCTTCTTAAAGCAGGCGACGATCGGGTTCTACTTCTTGCCGAACAATGAGCATTTCTACTGCCTCATGGAGGAGATGAAGAACTTCGTGAATCCTGACTGTTAATACATTGATTCTACTTAACTTTACCCGCAAGGCAGCCATTGATACATAGCAAAAAAGCTTGACATTTTTACTCGGGTGCTCTGTCGTGTGTAGTTGTAAGATTGTCTAGTATTTACTTACTTTATTTACCATTTTGTTGCGGTAATTTGAGAGTTTCGGCAGCTTGGAAGGATCGGAACTCGTTTACTGGATTCGGATGTAAGAGCGTACTTCCAGCCATGATTGATGGTAAGCATCGTTGTAGAACTTGCAACGGCGATGCTGGCGGTATCCCAAAAACATAGAGGAGTGCGTGGCTTGGGATGCCGCCAGAGTGGCATTCCCGGTGTAAGTAAGTTCCTCTAGAAGCGTTTGGTTGTTGATTAATATGTTGTTTGTTACATGGATTTTAATATTGTAAGCACTACTAATTTGAAAAATATGAACTGTGGAGCATAATGCTTCTTGTGTATGAACATAAAATGTTATACTTTGTGTACCGTATTAGGTTAAATTAGGCTTATTTATAAAGATTTCGTTTGATATTTGAACTTAATCTCGATTCCTAATCTTCGATTAATGCTTTGTTTAGCTAGTAATCTGGTTTGTTTTTCTTTTGATTTTTCTGGTTTTTGCCAACTTCAATCACGCCTTTCTAGCGAGGAGCTTTGACTCTGTTTGCCTTTTGTGTCTTTATGCGTGACATGATAGATTATGCTTGATTTGAGTGCATGCCTTTTTGCATGTTTTATTAGGACACTGATATTTCAACGCTACTAAATAACAAGAGATTCTTACATGAAACCGAATATATTATTATTTGTGTGTACGATTTTCATTACACGTATTCAGTGAAGAGAAATGCAGATACGTGAGAATAGCCGCATGTACGAGATGATACATCACACGTTGAGAGCTTTAAACGCAAAAAAAATAAAGATTTTTGAGTACAACTTGAATATGTTCCTTGTATTTATAATTCTCGTAATTTAGTATCTACAATCACATGATGGACACAATAAATGTAAGAATACATCGTATATAATAGAGATAAATGCAAGAGGACATATATCTTTGGTTACATAGAAAAATCTCTATTAACAAAATGTTTATTCACGTTATTTAATTCATGTAAAATTTCGATGCCAAGTGTAATCAACCACGCCACCCTCATCACCACACAAATTGAGATAGTGGCATATGACTTGAGGAAAAGGAAGTGATTATTTCCACTCTTTTTAGCAGATGAAACATTTCTTTTTCGTGTTCCATTTAAGGATTTAAAACCATAAAAAAAGATGATACCAACAAATAGATAAAAGAAGGGGTCTGCTATCCACACACCTTATTTTACTTCTCACACACCTTTTGATAATTTCTGTCCGTTGATTTTTTTCAATTCATCTGATCCGACGGCTGAAAATTAAAAAGGTGTGTGAGAAGTAAAATGGGATATGTGGATATCACACCCCTAAAATAATAGACATGAAAATTGAGTGAGAAAAAATGATTGGAGCAGAGTGTGTAATCATGGATTTCTTCATCTCACTCCATCTCTTTAGTTAAATTCTATTCTGGAGAAGAATTTAAATCGAACAAGCTCACTATCATCTATTGTTTTTAGACTAATAGCGCGTTATTAGGTGTAAATTTATTTTTCGCAAGGCAATTACTATTAGACTAGAATGCTAGAGAGCGATAAATCCAGTTTATGTTAGTTTTTATACGTAATTTAGGGATTTGGATCCATCCACTCTGGATCCCGTTCAGACTTTTATATTTTTGTGAAGTGGGTCGATGGGACAAGTTAATAGGAGGCAGATGATTAAAATTATGTTGTCCAAATCTCTTGATATGCAACCTTTGAACACAAAAACTCGGAGTGAATCTCAATTCGTATTTGGGATTTGGGGATAATGGCAAATGCATAGAATTGGTTTGTTTTTAGGTGGTGGGGCGACTCATCTGGTTGGTAGTGGTTGGGAATTTTGGATGTATTCCAGAGGGACCACATATGAAAACCCATGGATAAAAAACAAACAAGTAAACAAGCAAACAAATTTAATAAGATTTTTGGGATTTGCTTTTGAGTGCTTAATGGCCACTAAGGGGTAGAAAAACACAGCCAGCTTTGGACAATGACATGGAACCCTGTCCTTACTTGAGTCATGACTCTGTATTGCATTGCTTTACAAAGGTTGAATGTATTCTTATGCTTATCCGATCCACCAAAGTTTAGACAAAGATGGGTTACTGTCGTCACCAACGTTAGGATAACATCCATGACTTCAAGTTAAAAGGATTTACGCTTGACATCTAATTGCTAGCTACGATTGGTATGAATTTACATTGAAGTTTACAGACTGCGCACCAACGAGAATTGCTGGTAACAAGACTCAAACCTTGGTGGGGCGACACACAAGGCAAAGACATTACCAGCCGAGCCAGCCCTCGTTGGAAACTCTGCTTATGCTTTAATTAGGTTTCGTCAAATTCTTTCATTCACTTTATTATTTATTGGGAACTCTGCTCGCTCTATTTTGTTAATGAGTTGTTCATATTATGTACATACAAATTATAAAAGAGTATGTTAAAAGTACAAAACAAAAATATTCCGCATATACGTTAGACTGTGATTGTTTACATGAAAAAAGTATTCCATATATGTAAACAATAATCTACAGAAAAGAAATTCAGCCTCGACTATAAGGAGACGAATCACAATGTACTGACCAACCAATTAACATCTGTGTGTTTCTACTGTGAACCTTCCATGACTCTTTTCGTTTAAGGAGTCATTCCATACGTGCATAATATAAAAACGAAAGATTAAAAATATAACGTGTTAGATTATGATTTGTTTATAAGAAAACCATACTCCGTGTATCATACATAAATATGATCTGTAACAGGAGAAACTAAATCTCGAATTCTCGACGACAAAAAAGACGAAACACATTGTTCGGATCAAACGACGAACACGTGTGGAACATTGTTCGCATGAACGGGGAAAAATTTTTAGTTGTGACGGGAATACAAGTGGTACACCACGTGTTTTAATATGAGTGGTGGGAAATTTTATTTTTTAATTTATTAACATTTTAGCACACATATCCCACCATTTATATAATGATACATGATGTACCATCTCATGTATCGATTACACTAAAAAATCTCATCAGGAGATTTCTTGCTCGACTTGTCATGGTTTATTTCTCAACGTTGTATTGTGACTTGTCCTTTGTTGATTAGCTGTTAATGTTTGGAGTTATTCCCTAATACGACACATTAAGTCCTTGTCAACAAAATCGACTTTTTCTTAATGGCGATGTGCAGATAACGACAAAACCCTTAATTTGTTTTTGGTCTCCACCTCCCCTTCACTTTTCCCGTGTTTGATTAATCTAATTTTTGGGTGGGTCCTCCGGGTTCACATCTCGTTTTTGTCTTATGTGGACTTTTTTGGAGGTTTATTTTTCTTTAATTTTTAATGTTTAATTTTGTTGGTTGAATGATTAAGAAAAAGGTTTTCCTAATAATTAGATTTAGGAGTACATTAATTGGTTAGGTCTTGTTTCAACCTTTCACCCATTATGGAATAAAAGCACCATCTCAAGCAAGTTCTTGTTTTAGATCTTTCACTTCTTTCAAAGGGAAAATGAGTGAGTGTGTCGTTTCCTGATTTGTGCGTATTGTTGTTATGTGTTAGCGTGAGTTCGTTCTAACTTTATTGAATATTAGTGGTAGGTATTACTTTATTGAATGTCAATTATTCTTTCAGTGTTTTTGGATTTCGATGAAGATACTATCGTATCACCATGCCAATTGCCAAGCAAGTTCATTATTTGGATTTTCCACTTGTGTTTGAAAAGGAAAATGAAATATTGGGTTGGTTTTAAAATTTTATTGTCAATAATCGTTCTAGCTTTATTGGATGCCAGTGATCGTTTCAACTATATTGTATATCAATGGTCATTCTAATATTCGTGGATGTTGATGAATACGCTGTATCACCATGCCAAACAAATTCTTTATTTAGACCCTTCACTTTTCTTTCAAAATTGGTTCATTTCTAAATTTGTACGTTTTGATTTTAATGTATTTGGCATCGTTTTGCTCCATCTTTATTGAATGACAATGATCGTTCCAACTATATTAAATGTCAGTAATCGATTTAATTTTTTTTGAATGTCTACGAAGATACTGTTGTATCACTATACCAAACAACTTCTTTATTTAGATCTATTTTTAGGGTTGGTTACATATTTATTTAGATCTTTTGCTTTTATTTGAAAATGAGAATGCAACAATGGGTCAATTCTAAATTATAAGTGTTATTTTTATGTATATGCATAATCTCGCTCCAACTTTATTACGTGTCAATGATCGTTTCAACTGTACTAAATGTCAAAGATCGTTCTAAGATGTTGACGAAGATAACGTTCTATGTAATTCCGAAACATTTATTCAAAAAAGAGTATTCTTCAAACATAACAAAGAGAGGGCAAGATTAAAATCAATACATTCGAATTAGGAATGAATCCAATTTTCATGATAAGAATAAATCTTTGGAGATTTGTAATTTACGAAAAGCAAAAAGGAAAAAAAAAGAGAGATTGAACTTATAAAACTCCCCAAAAATAAAGCATGAGGGAAACGACAATTCTTTATATATGAAACCACAGATGACGGATTAACCATTATAATTAATAGGAATGCTCATCCGTTGCAATATGATCCAAGGAATAGTATGGAGTTTCATGCGTGTGAAGTCAAACCGAACCGAAAAAATGGAAGAAAACTGAACCGAACCAAACAACAATTTCAGTTCGGTTATCAATTTTGTCAAAAATCCGAACCAGTTGAAGCCGAACCCACCCCTAGCCTACCGCCTTTCAAACAAGGCAACGACTAACTCTTCACTGTCAATGTAATTTCTAAAATACATCAGTAGATCGAGTGCAGCAACCCTCTTTGAAACTTTTGAGGTCGTGGTGAGACTTATTTGGATTTCCATAGGCATTCAGCGCTTCGGTACACTTGGTATACGAAATAATGTACAGATTCTGCAACCCAGCACGGTCGATCAATTGTATGCAAATACAAAACCAATCGAATATAAACTGATGTGACAAACTGAAATAACAGAAGTTTCAAAAGCAGTTAAAGAAGTTAAGAGTGTCTAAAGAAATATGCAGACGGATTAAATTTCCTCGTTTAGAGGCAGTTACATGAGGGCCAGTCATGTAACTACGGCATCCAAGGAATCATGTAATTACGGCAGCAATATCCATAAGCTTGTTAAAGTTACTTAGTGTTGGAGGTAAAGGCAAACAATTTGTTCTAATAGACTCACTAGCAGTATCTACACTTTGTTCCTTTGTTGGCATCGCATGCATTACTGGCTCGAGAAATATTGATTCAGGTTTAGCTGCGGGTATACTATATACACCACATCTAGGAGTGATCTCTTGGCAAGACCACTGACTACATAGGCGCTCACACTTTAGGAATACTTGTTCCGCGATCAACGGAACATGGGTTACCAAGGTCAGCACATCACACTGTTCACGAAATGTACATCTAAAAAGTAATATTCTTGAATTCCAATGAATCCAAATTCATCCAATGCAGTGATATGCTATCATAAAATCAATAATTAATCTCAACATCCACGCATAATTATCAATGAATCAGAGAGAAATTTAGTTTCTAATGAAGTTCAATTCAACCAATGATAGATAGGCCACAAATCATTCAACCACAACTAACTGATTCTACAGATTGCTGACTTATATACAGAAGAAATTATTGCATTACCAATCAACATGCGTCAGCACAAACTATTTCAATCAGATCGCACTTCGACTTCTGAAGTGTCAACCTGAAGCATGTGCTCCGTAATTTCTTCCCTTCAATGATCATAGGATGCCATCAATATAACTTATTGGTCAGTTCGATGGGTAGGGGATGAATAATTATTTACAAAGAAAACCTTGTTCAGCTGATTTATTGTTTTGAATGAATCCAGTATGGTACTCATCCAGATGATGAGATAACAATGCTCAGTCACCTAGCATCTTAGAAAGGGGAAGGAGAAAAAAAGAGGACATTGAAAACAATAGAGAACCGTAGGACTCTAACAGTCATATTAACAGGAAATAGTGTGCAATCATTCTGAGCAGATAAGAGTGTACATGCAACAAAAAATCAGGAAACTACTGACTAAAGAGAAAAGGAGTTGATAACAAGAAGTGGCTTTCCGAGTGAAGATGTGTACCTGTGAATAATGTTGAACCCCTGTTGTGTCTTATGAATTTGATGAACCATTCGCAATACTCTCTGAAAGGTTTACGCATTTCTGCCATCCAAGCTCTACCAAAGTGACGTGGAGAATCATGATAACAATGAATCAAAAGGCATTTCATATCCATGCTTCCACATTGATCCTAGTACTTGTGCCACCTTACATCTTTGACCACACATTAAGTAGGCTCTGTACAGTATCACAAATGTCTTTTTGGTACAGGGCATGTTTAAATTCTCCATCTGAATAAGCACATTCTCCATTTCCTTTAAGCGGTTTTGTGCTGCATACATGACCATCTGACAATGATATAGGGACCTACAAGTTCTCCACCTTGCAAATTCTGCACGCTTCACAAAACTTTCAAGTCTGTCCACTTCATTGCATCGGAAATAACTTGAAATTATACATCGCATCACACCTGCAGTATGTACAGCAGTTTTGTGCTCAAATGCCTCATTTATTGACTTCTCCATCGCCTCCAAGCAATCCTCTTGAGCATAAACTTTAATCAGATTCACATTCAACCAAGGTCTATATTCATTTTCTGGTATAAGTTTCATTAGTTTGTGAATCTTTTCCACTCTGTCTGTCACAGAACTCTTGCAATATGCACATATCATAGTTCTTATCAATGGGATTTCCTTATCATCTACGTGATGTTTTACCAACTCATATGTTTCCTCCATCTTTGCCAAATTACCTGAATGAGCATACCCTCGAAGCATTAGCAAGTGGGTGCTAATATCAGGACTAACAGGGCCCTCCTTCATCTTTTGGAAAGTTTTTTCCATACTATTCCACATCCAAGCTGTTACATATCCAGCAATCAAATGATTGTATGTGCTTAAATTAGGTGACAAACCTAAATCCTTTAAACCCCGGACAGTTGCCTCCATATGGTCAACCAGCATCAAACGACCAAATACAGAAATAAGAATGTTGTACGTTACAATAGTAGGATAGCAATCTGGTTCCTTCTTGAGGTCCCGAAACAAAGATTGACATTTAGCAGTATGACCATTGAACATATAGGCACTCATCAGTGCATTATAAATAGAAGTTGTCTTGATCTGCTTGTTTATAGCCTCGGTAAATAACTCAAGGGCAAGTTCTACATTCTTAGCTTTACCAGCTATTATAATAGCCTTGGCATATTCCTCTGCACTCATAGAAGTGCTACTAGCAACCTGCTGTCTTCTCCACTCAAAAACCTATAACATAAGCAAAACAATATGAAAAGAAAATAGATAGTTAAACAGCAACATTTCCAAAGAGATTTTACCTGAGATTAACATGGGCAAAGCACGGTAAAGATTAACCATATTTTCAACAGACGCAAGCATATCTCACGTAAACCAAACTAATCCATTGTATTCCCGTCTTTTAATAGTCTTAAAACTCGATTATTAACACCACAAACCCTAATGGGAATAGACCGGTCTTGCATTTCATAAAATATGATTCCAAGTTAGTGCAACAAAAGTGTACACATTGTGAATGGCAAACTGAAAATGTAATATGTTATCCGTCGAAAACTCCTACTTTGAGCAGAAAATGGACCCATATAGAATTACAGACACAGAGTTAACAAATGCATAACAATGGCCATTTAGTGGACTTTCATGCTGCATAATTGTACATACAATCTAGAAACGAACACTAATTTACGAGTTAAGTAATCGAAAACTCATACTAAAACCGAAAAGCTTCAAACTTTAAATCTGAAGTCTCAAACTTTTATATGAGAAATTACCTCCAGAGCCAATTGAGGCCACGAACGCAGCTGATTCAGAAGCTCAACGACACCCATTCCGTACTTCCATTCCCACAGGGAGGAACATCCCTTCTCTTCCAAAACCCTAACAATCTTCTCAGAATCCCCAATATTCTGAACCAATTCGTCCCTCAACTCCGACGCCGTCCGGGCCAGATCCTCCCTGGCCCTCATGTCTTGCGGCAAGGGCTTGTCTCTGAACAAGTCAATGATGCTCGACATGGAGATGAGCGGAGAAGAAGAAGACGGGGCGGCGGAGGAGGAGTGGGTCTGAGCATTGACGTCACGGGTTAATCTGTAACTTGGGGAGTTGGTGAGGGTGAAAGCGTAGTGGGGGTGTTGTAGGGTTTTGGAGCCGGCGGCGGAGGATCTGTGACGGGAGAGGAGCTCAGATTGGGCGGCGTCGGATAGCTTCCAAACTCGCTTCATTGGTTGGTGTTGTGAGTGGTGACCGTTGTGCGCGTGTGTTATGGGTTTTACCAAGGGTTTTTCTCTCTGTCCGATCTTCTGCTCCACCAATGCTTAGATTTTTTTTTTATATTTTTTTTATACGAGTAATATTAGAGACAGAAAAATCAAATTTTTTTATTTTTTATCAAACGATAAATTTTTGTTAGACTAGCTAATTTTCATCCGCATCAACTCTCCAAACTAAAATCACCACAGGGCTATTATGGTTAGAAATAAATTTTAAGTCCGTATTTTAGATAGCATGTTTTGAGTTCGATATATCAACATTGTAGTCACACTTATTATAGCATCACATGCCCATATGACAACTTAAAAAAATTGATCTTGTTCAAAGCCCAAATAGGTGATGCTATATGTTCATACTTTTTTATTTTCTATACAATTTTCTTAATTTTCGATCGTTGAATCGAATTAATTAAAGAAATTAAATGACATAAATTAGAAAACAATTTGTGAGAGCTAAAAATAAATGTGTTGACAATACCAACCCCAATAATATACCAGAAAATGACATAGCTACGAAGGTCCGTCGCCAACCTACAAAGTGTCTCACAAAAAGGAGAAAATAACATTTAACCACTTAGTACTACAATTTCGTGATATTCCTCTTCACTTGTAAGTGAAAAGTTTTAGGTTCGATTCTCGCCAAAGCGAATTTGAACCACATTATTATAGCTAGCCTAATGTGAGGTTTAGCTCACTTCCCCATCCCTTTGGAGTAGATAATATCATTTATTCAAAAATAAATAAATAATACCAACCAAGCCTTATCCCACTAAGAAAAATAAATAAATAATAGCAATAGCCAAGCCTTAGCTTATCCCACTAAGTAGCTAAGGCGGTAGGAATTTTAGAATGCTACTGCGTTCGACTTTACGTCAAGTGTTCCGTTAACTCCAAGTACCAAATATAGTTTGTTATAGTCTCTTTCCTAGTCTTCGTTGGTCTTCCTCTACTATTTTGCCTTGAATCTCTGTTTCATAGTTGCATATTCTAATCGAAGCATTTGTAAGTCTTCGATGTGTGGCCACTCCTACTTTACCTTAGACATCCTCATTTTTAATCATATCATTTCTATTGTGCCCACACATTCAATGAAGCATTCTTATCTCCGTTACACTTAATTTTTGTATGTCTTTCTTTTTATAGCTCAACATTCCGTGCCATAAAAATATTGCTAGCCTTATTGCGGTTCTATAATTTTTTTTCTCGAGCTAAAGTTGCATACACAACACATCCAATGCATTATTCTTTATCCATTCAGCTTGTATTCTATTGTTATGTTCTCTTCCTAATTCTTTGTTCTTTTACAAGATAGATCTAAGATAACTAAAGGGTTTACTCTTTGGTACTTTCTGGTCTCCAATCCACGCTTTGCTTACTTTATACGATGCTCAAACCACACAATGAGTCACTTCCGGGTGACAATCCAATTTTAGCATAAATTCATGTCACAGGGATTCGATACAATGAACAAAGTACCAGGTGTTGACTACCTACCTAATACACTTCTCTTCTTTTATCTGGACTTAGGATTGGCAGTTTAAGATAAATTTCCATATAGGTGAAACCGGTGGAGTTAAAAAGGAGAAAAAGAAAACACAAACAAAAAAAAGAAAAAGAACGAAGGCCCCGAGCTGCCACCTCGTCAATCCGTCAGCATCGACTCTGCGTGGGGAGGAGGCAGTGAATTCTGCAGTCACTCTTATCGACCAATCCCAACTCCAGAAAAGTCTCCATCCATTAATCCAATTATTTCACAAACTCCATGAATTCATAGGTTATGTGATATACTGATACTCTGAATCCTGAGTATCCATTAATCCACCACCAAAGTCAATGAACTCTGTGCTTGCTTAACCAAAAATCCAACAAAAAGTCCCCATCTTTGTGCCCAGTTCGTCAATCTTTCCAAAGAGGTAAGCAAGAACTCTCTCCTTCCTTTGATTTTCTTAAGTTTTTGCATAGAGATCGATCGAACTAGCAATTGGGTTCTTACTTCTTAATTCTCGAAAACCATTTAGTTTAATTTGTAGTCCGAGGATGAAAGTGTTCTTGGATTTAAGGTTGTTGGGTTGGGAGCTTGTTCTTGTATTTGTAGAATTTCCCAAAAAAGTTAGTAGCTTGAGGTGCATGATAGAAAATAATTAGGACATATGTTGTTGATGGAATGGAAAATCTAGCAATTGGGTTGTTCTTATGTTACTTTTGCTGTTTTTTGATGGCTTAAATAGGATTTTGACATGATTGGGAAGCAGTTTTGAAGTTTCAACTACATTGTAAGTGCTTGTAATATTTTTTATGGCTTAAATTTGTAGGATTGACACCTTTGCTGTTTTTTTTTTTTATGTTAAATTCTTTTATTTTATTTTATTTTTATGAATTGAGATTTGAGATGTATGATAATGTTGTTATAGCCGAAGCGGCCGCAGTTGATGATTTGATGAGATGGGGTATTCACTCAGTAGATTGACACTAGAATCTGATCATTTTGATCCTGGAAATGCTGCCGTCCATGGAGTCGGTAACGGTCAAACACCCAACAAACCATTGCATAATCTAGAGCATGAAGTCGCCCAGCTCACAAAGTTGAGGTCAGCTCCCAATGTGCGGCTTACCCAAATTGGACCTAGAAGGCGGGACTTGCCCGTTTCCACGGTCAGGATGCTGGCTGGTCGAGAGGGCAATTATTCGGGAAGAGGAGGAAGGTTCTCTTCTGCAGATCGTTGCCATGTTCTAAGTAGATATTTGCCAGTCAATGGTCCTTGGTTTGTCGACCGAAGGTCTAGCCGAGCTTATGTCTCTCAGTTTTCGGCAGATGGATCCCTTTTCATTGCTGGGTTTCAGGTAACATGTCTATTGCTTGCACTCTAAACTAAATTTGCCAAATTGAGAACAGGATGACCATCCTGACATCTATTCTTTATCGAGTTCATCTGATTGTTTATTAAACCAATTGAAAAGAAAACGTAAGAGGGTTGCATTGTTTCTTCAGTTCTGAAGTACAAACTTACTTGAACTTGGAGTTATGTAAATTTCAAATGTAGTGATTGTCGATGATGCTATGGGCTTGACTTTTAGTTTTTGTTCAAATGCTCGTTGCAGGATGGTCATATCAAAATATACAATGTGGATAGAGAGTGGAAAGTCCAGAAGAACATTCATGTCCAAAGTATGCGATGGACTGTCACTGATACGTCTCTTTCCCCGGATCAACGCTATCTTGTGAGGCCCTGTATATTGTTATCTTAATTTCATGAAAAATTGGGCCCTTGGCCTTCGATTATGAAACAAGAAGTCAAGATTCATGAGATAATGATGCAAAGAAGGATGTTAAACTACTATATATACATATCAAGCACTAAATATTTGGAAATCGGAAACTATTTATAATCTCTCAAAACACCCAGAGGTCTACATATCAATGTCTCTCAATAGTTTTATCTTTATTAAATTTGGATTCTGCTATTTCAGGTTTATGCGAGAATGTCCCCTATTGTTCATATGGTTGATGTGGGATCTTCTGAAGTGGAGTCTCGTGCAAATATAACGGTATGCAAATGCGCTTTCTTATGTTTTTTGAAATTTCTAGAGGATGCATTTTCAACAATTTTCTTGTCTTCTACTTGTTACAAACACTCAGGGAAGATGCTAGTGACTTTGAATGATAAATAAATACTACAGAAATCACTCGGTCACATAACCATTTGATTGGATGATTGTCTTACATTTTGTCATCTTATTTCGGATTGGAGAAGAGGAAAATATAATGAAATAAATAGGATAATGGTGTTCTTTTTTCCAGCAGAATTATCATGTCCGAGACTAGAGAATGAAGGAAACTGGGAATTTTGGTTTTGCTTCTGCAGTAAGTTTGCTGACAGTCAGAGAATAATTTTTTGTGCAGGAGATCCACGAGGGTTTGGATTTTTCCTCTGGTGATGACGGAGGGTACTCATTTGGTATTTTCTCCATAAAATTCTCAACAGATGGACATGAACTTGTTGCTGGAAGTAGCGATGATTCCATATATGTTTATGATCTTGAAGCCAATAAGCTCTCCCTTCGGATTCCGGCGCACTCGGTATAAGAATTTCTGGACGCTTCTATGATTCTATCTTGTTTTTCTTTTATTTCGTTTATTGATTGTCAGTACTCTTTAATATTGTCGTTTTTTTTTTTTAAATTTTATTTTCTTGTCGTATTGAAGAATACTGAAGTGTAGTGTGGTGACTGCTCTTTGAATGAGAGTGGAATCTTTCAGGCTGGAAATTTGATGGTGCTTTCTTTTGCAGTCTGATGTGAACACCGTATGCTTTTCTGATGAAAGTGGCCATCTTATTTATTCTGGGAGTGATGATACTCTCTGTAAGGTAAATTTGCCGTCCCCGTGACTTCTAATTTTGAGTTTCCATTGTTCATAACTACGTCTGAGAGTGATGATACGTTAGGTAAATTTTCAGAGTCATTATTTGACTTACATGAGATGCATGCAGAAACTCATATAAGGTATAGCTTTGTGTAGGTATGGGATAGACGTTGCTTTAACACTACAAGGAAGCCAGCAGGAGTCTTGACTGGACACCTAGAAGGTATTGCATTCATTGACAGCAAGGGAGATGGTCGTTATTTCATTTCGAATGGTAAAGATCAGACCATTAAACTTTGGGACATCAGGAAAATGTCTTCTAGTCCCGCTCGGTATGTTAGCATCCTAGCTATCCATGGTGCTCTTGGAATCATATGAAGTTTATTTATATACTATTTAATCATGGTCAGTGAACACTACGATGTTAATCCCGTTATATAAACATCATAATATCATCTCTTTTCACTTCGTCATTCAAGATCAGGATAGTTTGGAAGGGCTTTGCTTGTACTTCCAGTTAATTTACTACAGTAAGAGAATAACAATCTTTCAATTTGTTCCAGCACTCCAGGGCTCAGGAGTTCTGAGTGGGATTACAGATGGATGGACTACCCACCCCAGGCAAAAGATATGAAACATCCGTCTGATCAATCAGTAGCTACGTATAGAGGACATTCAGTCTTGCGTACGCTTATTCGCTGCTACTTTTCTCCGGCATATAGGTAAGCGTTAGTAATAATCTTTTTGTTCATACATCTCTAGAGCTCTAGCATCTGCATTCACATCCTAGTTAAGTATTTTATGCTCAAACGTAATGTTCAACTGCTTTGATTAAAATTTTATCTCGGTATAAGTTTCTTACTCATTTCGCACTACTGTCGATTATTTGATACTAATGAAATATTTCATCTACGTAAAATTTGCAGCACCGGTCAGAAGTACATATACACGGGATCGCATAACTGTTGTGTGTATATATACGATTTGGTATGTGCTGTACGTTTTATTCTTTCTGCTAGAAGATTTCAGTCCGAACTTCTGGTAATCTTGATCAATCTGTGTAGGTTACCGGAGCCCAAGTTGCGACGCTTAAGTATCATAAAGCACCGGTGAGGGACTGTAGTTGGCACCCCTATTACCCGATGCTCGTAAGCTCTTCTTGGGACGGGACAGTTGCTAAATGGGAGTTCCCCGGCAGTGGAGAAGCGCCGGCCTCGTTGTATTATTAATATCGGATTCGTATTCACTAAATTCACTTGTACATAAATAAATTACCATGTACGTGGTAATTATATTGTTCGTCCAAACCATTCCTATTTGTACCTCTTGGTTTTTTTGTTTGATTACTTCTGTGTGCTACTAGAATTTCGAACTCGAGATGCATGGGGAAAACTTAAACACCTTATCTATTAGGATATTTAACCACATGTAATCTCGGGAAAGTCAAAGTTTACAAAACCAGCGTGGAGGGTAAAATGAACAACAACAAAGTTTTTTCCACTAAATGGGGTTGGCTGCGTGAATCCTAGAGCGTCAAGTCTTTCATTAGGTTCTAATACTTTATGTATTTTTTTAAAGTCTTTTTATGTCTTTCTCAACCCCTTGTGCTCTGAGTCTCTGTCACATAGTCGCATTTTCTAAACGAAGCATATGTAGTTTTTCGTTTCACACTTCCAAACCACATTAATCAATTTTCTTTCATCTTATCTTCAATTGGAGCCACTCCTACACGAGAAAAAAAAAAAACAAACAGAAAATAAAATCTAAGTAATTTCATTGTGAAAGACAAAAATCGATGTCAAAAGTAAAAGGTCCGGTTCTCATCCATGAGAATCAAACTCACATAAACCATCCTTGCAGACATAAAAGAAAGAGGAAAGGCAAACAAAGAGGGCTCCTAATCTGCATTAAGTTTGTAATATAAATAATAATTAGTGGGGCATAAATATTGTGAGGTGACATAAAACAAAGAGGGCCCCTACTTTGGTGAATGAAAGCAAACAATGCAATTTAATATTTCCTAATTGGGAAAGAAGCGTAATTATGCAGCACAACCCTTCCGTACAATAATTAGCAAATGCTAAATATTCAACATTTATGCCCCACTTTCTGCAAATATGAATTATTATTTCTTTATCCCCCTAATTCCCTCCCAAAATAAAAAGCAAAAATAATTAATGGCACATTCTTGTTGCACAAGCGTCACAGAATCCAATTCCCAAACCAAGAGCATGTTTTTCTCTTCTCACAAATTTAAGGATTTTGATGTTAGTGAAATTTAACGGTAACGGTATTTCAAATCAATTATATATTTTTAGGAGAATTTTTTTAACAACCCTCTACATTATGATTAATCCAAACTCATTTGTGTTGATGTGATAACTTCTTAGTGACTTGTTCTACATGTTCAACCATGTTACACCCCATCCAAAGTTTCTCTTCATTTTTATATAGAAACTTCAAAATATGTGTCAATGCGTGATTGATCTATAATATCCCCATTGAACTTCTCACGTACAGAGAACAGAAAAATTAGGTTGAGTTTGAACTACAGTGTGGGAAAAGAGGTGGTAACATATTGAAGGAAAATGGGTTGAAAGCTTTTGGCAGCAAACCAAAACTCTAGAAACCAAGAAGAAGAGACAACAAATGAGTCAAATGGGTTTTCTTTTTCTTTTAGTTAAAGTGTCATACATTGTTGTAGCTTGTGTTGACTGCTAGCTTTCTTCTCCTTTCATGTGCTCTCTCTCTCTCTCTGTACTTTTGGTTTATCCAACTCCCACCTAATCCTAGCTACCTTCACATGTCCTCTCCCATGGCTTACATAAGATTATGTAGCTTTCAAGAGGAACAAGACACCACCTATGGATTCTTTAGGTTGACAAAAACATGACCTTAGTTGAACATTTAGTTGTATCAGCGATCTAACACAACCTTATTCTTCCCTTGCAAAGAGACTGTTTCTATGACTGGAAGCCCTGAACTTCCAATCACAGAGAAGCAACTTTTTCGTTGCGCAAAGTATAATATTGTTATATGATGGAGTGAAATAAAGCTGATTCCAAAAGTGTGAAATAATGTGAGGCTATTGAAGCAAGTGCATGATGGATACCGTTGCTTCACATTTCTCTCAAATAGCTATGTAGCTGCCTCCAATCATGAATAGTGCTTTTTGTTCAGAAGCCCGTGCATTGCAAAAGCTGAAAAGCAGAAGCACCTCCCACAAAGTGCTTCTGTGCTTCTCTATCTTCTTCCATCAGAAATAAAGCAACTGAAGAGAAGGCTGCTCATCAAAACAATCATAACTCAAAAAGTTTTTGTCACATCTCCATGTTTGTCAAAACAAAATATAACTCGACAATTTCTTAATATGACCGTCACACCTCCTCATTAAGATAGGTAGGGCTTTGTGGTCAAGGTTGGGACATGAGGTTTGTATAATACACCCAATTTCACACCCCTTCTATCTCTCAACTCCATTTTTGGTTCTCATCAAAATTTTCATTTAGCAGATCGTCAATAGGGGTGGGCTTGGAAAATTGAAAAAACTGGACCGGAACAAAAAAAAAAAAAAAAGGAAGAAGAACCGATTAAAAACAAATTAAAACTAAAAACAAGACTGAAAATTATTGGTCCGATTTTGGTTTTGGTGGTTCAAAAACAAGACCGAATGAATATAAATTAATATTTTTTATTTATTTATGTTGGATATTCATTTTTCAAACTTGATTCCAAGTTGGCTGTTGGTCAAATTTCAATCCAAGATTAAGTAAACCTAACTTTAAACCCAAATATGTTGAAAGCCTTATTCCCTAAAATTTTTTCCTTCATTTTCTCTCCAATTTCTAGGTCAAAAAGTTAAAGAAAAAAAAAATGAAAAAAACCAAAATCCAACCTAAAATCAAACCAAACTGAATTACAAATTCCAAAATCATATCGAACTAAATCGATAGTAATTTTGATTCGATTTTTGATTTTGACGAAAATCAAACCGAATGAAACCAAACTCACTCATAATCATCAATTCAAAAGATAATAATAATGCAGAACATAAATGAATCAATAGCAGATGAAGATTTGCTCTAACAACACACGGTCTCTACTTCATTACCGAAAAACTTCAGTTTAGATACGACAATTATTAATTATAAAAGGAAAGATGTACATATTAGTCACACCAACAAACATTCCATGTCCTTGCCAAAAATTTCTTCATATTTAATAATAAAATAGTCGAGCATGAATTTCCCCAACATTTTTACACTATTTCTGACTATCCACAATCTTTTCTTATTCATAATTTCACCCCCCCAAAATAAATAAATGAATCTAAAATATCCCCCACCCCACAAAACACAACAAAATATTAATCAAAATATAATTCTCCTTTTTAAAGAAAAATAAACAAAATTAAACCCCATCGGAATTTCCTACTTTACCCCCTCCAGTCGTTACACTGCGCCGTCGGCCTAGCCTTCTGCTTCCCGGCCTTCAGCGGGCACGGCGTCTGTACGGGCGGGACCATGCAATTATACTGCAGACACACCGAGCTGCTAACCGGAATTTCAGCCGTCGGATTGATCTGGATCCCCGTCAGAAAATTGTGCTGTAAATACAATACCTGTATATTCGCCGCCAATAGCCGGTCCACGAAGCTACCCGGAACCTGACCCGTGAACCGGTTGTTATTCAAGTAGAGACTCTGTACGGTCGAAAACAACGGCGAGATTTCACCGGATAGTCGGTTGTAGCTGAGATCGACGTTGGCGATTGAAACTTGACCCTCCGGTGTGATCCGACCCGAAAACAAGTTTCGCTGCAATTGGAGGTTTGTGATTGGGAAGGTGAAGATCCGACCCGGGATTGTGCCCGTGAACTGGTTCATGCTGAGGTCGAGGTAGTTGAGCTGGTCGAGCCGGTTCAGGAGGCGGTCGACCGGACCGGAGAGCCGGTTCCAGGAGAGAGAGAGGTATTGGAGAGAGGGAGGGAGGGAGTTGGGAGTGAGCGAACCGGACAGGTCGTTGTGCTTTAAGTCGAGTCGGGACAGGGTTTGGGAGGTGAAGGGAGGGACCGAACCGGAAAGGCGGTTGTGGCAGAGGATGAGGTTGGAGAGCTCCGGAAGGGCTGCGACGGAGCTGGGGATTGCTCCGGCGAATTGGTTGTAGCTTAGGTCGAGTGTTCTGAGGTTGCGGAGCTGGCCGAGACTCGGCGGAATCTGACCGGAGATGAAGTTGCGGCTGACTGCGAGGAACCGGAGGCTCTTGAGCTGGGATATCGACTGGGGCAGGGTGCCGAAGATCCGACCCGGAACGATTGATAGCTCAGCGAGGGCGGAGAGCTTGCCGATTGCTGGGTCGAGCCGACCCGTCAGACCCGGCGCACCGGCTCTTGGGTCGCCGAGATTGAGGGAAATAACCTTGTCGGAGTCGCAGTAAACGCCGGCGAAGTTGCAGGGGTCGGAGGTGAAGTCCCAGGAGGCGAAATACTTTGATCCCGGCATGTCTTCCAGCGACTTCCGAATCGACTGCAGAGCCAAGAAATCAACCGGGTTGAGAATGGCGACGGCGATTGGAATCGGAATGGGGTTCCATTGAATCAAACAGAGGAAGAACACTGTGCACACAAACCCATTACTCCTCTGCTTTTCCGCCATTGGAAGCGAGCTCTGAGACTGTGAGTGACAGAAATGGACCTGGCGATATGGGTTTTATAGCGGGGACAAAGAAAGTGCTTTTAATGGGGGAAATAAAGCACTTTTCCGTAAGAGAAGCTACAGATTTCTCGTGGGAAATGGGAAATCACAGAGCGGTGATAACTTTAATGGTGGGAAATATTAAGCATCCAGAAAAAAAAAAAAGATGGTGGCTTGGAGAAGAAGGCAATCGATCGAATCTTGTATTCTAATTCTACTCGAGCTCAGATTTTCTCGAAAGATTTCTGCTTTTTAATTTCTAAATTTTTCTGAATATATTTGGCTTCTCAGAGAAGACGCAATCACTCACTCAGCTGCTATACGGTAAACAGAGCCACTGAGGAGGCTGAGCTCTTCGATTTTTAATTTTTACTTTTATTTTATTTTATTTTTATTATTATTAAAATGTTACTGTTTTTGTTTCTTTACTGGGAGTTGGGTTCGGGGTTAAACGGTTGTCCGAGCCTACGTGGCGGGTGGGGCCTCAGGTTCGGGATCCAGGTTGGCGAACTAAGAGGGCGGGGATCATGTGAGCTTGCGGTTTGACGTGAGACTTTTGATCTGACGTGGAACTTAGGGAGGTGGGTATTTCCGTATTTGCCAGCTGGGTTTGGTTTTCTTCTTGCAAGAAAAGGAAGAGGATTATCGTCAGATCTTTTTTTTGAGGATTTTGAGAATCTTATGCTCGTGATTCTTCATCGTATATCGTGCAATTAGAAATTATTTTAAAATTTTAAATTAAATATAAATAGTACCTAACTAAAATTGTCTGCATAATGTATAATGAACAGTCACGATCACAGGATCCCTAAGACCTCAAGAAAGAATCCGGCAAGGATTTCCACAAGAAAAGGCTACTACTTGTCGTTTTTATGAGGACTCGGTTTCCTACTCACAAGGGAGAATATTGTAATTTAATTTGGGGGTAGTTTCTCTCGTACTCGTAGTATTTAGTTATTTACTAACTTAGAATTGGATAGAATTCGAAATTGTTTTTATTTTTAAGTTATTTTGATTCATGATTTTACATTGCAATCAATAATCCAATACTGGAAAAATGATGAATTGTCATTTTGTTGATGATGAATCTCATATTGATGGGAGAATGGATCTTGCAAGTAGTTGAGCTGTTCCTCATATTGCCAATTGGTTTTATGGTATAATTTCAAATTTGTTCTTATTATTAGAGCTTGTTGTCTCATGCGTGAAGCCCAACGGCCACTCATACTTCACGTCACCTGATTTGTACTTTCCACGTGCCATGCTTGAAAATTCGCCACATGTAAGGTCGCGTGTTGAGAATGAATTTTACATTGATGGAAGAAAGGATCTTCCAACCTTGCATATGCTTATAAATAGTTGGTCTACTCCTCATACTGTCAATTAGTATTATGGTGAAACCTTAACTTTTTCATATTGCACGCCTATTCTCAAATAAGTAAACATGTCACTAGAAACAACCTGATCATGAACTTCACAATTAAACTACTAAAAATTTGATCCTAAAATATGATTGAGGTCTTCTTCTTTTTTTTCACTTGGAGAAATGTTTTGGGAAGGAAAAACTATCACTAATACAAACTCAGATTTGATTTGGGATTTTGGAGCTACATAAAAGCTCACAAAAGCTCAAAATCCCACAATAACAAGAGTTTATTGTGGTCTCTAAGTATGTGCAAGTATGATGGTAAGAGATGGTATGGGTAACTTTTACTTTCCATAATTTTTTTCTGTTAACTTTTCTATTTATGTAGGCTGCCAAATGTTCTTCAAAACCTTCAATTCTTAGCTAATTTGTTACGAGTTTATTTCTACACTACACCCACTATTTTTAATTAATTAATATCCTACCAAAATCTTTTATGAAGTTGCATAATTGCATTCACCTCTCAATTCCACTGCACAAAGAAATTATGACAATAAATTAAAAATCCCAATGACATTCTTCAAACTTCCTCTCCTTTTCGTTGGATGTTGGGAGTCTTGGAGCCAAAGAAAGATGGTATTCTCAGGGAATGAGATCTATTTCGGATTTCTGTGTTTGAAGTCTTCGGATCTAGAGATAGGAACCGTACAAAAGAAAGAAAGAGAGAGAGAGAAAATGATCCGGACCTTTCAAGTTTTTGGATTTTGTGAAGTGAGTCAATAGATGGGCTGATGGAGGCCGTAAGATTGAAATTGAGCGATTCGGATCTCTCATTCAGTCAACAAGCTCTGAACATTGAAATCCGAAGTGAATATTAATCCGTACACTTAGTCCATAACAAAACAAACCAGTTTCACTGAATTGGAGAGTCAAAGGAACTGGTAAAACAAAAGTTACTAACTTGTTCTTCACTCCTCCGTCCCTTGGTCCTTTCTTGGTTTCAGAAGCTGCCTGGCTGGAGTCAAAAAGTTTACCAAGAAAAGCCACTCTACAATGCAACGCCACCAAAAGGGTGTCAAATAAGTAAAAAAAAAAAAAAAAAAAAAAACTAGGTAATTGCTTTAAATCAAGTTTTAAAAGACAATAGGCGCTACTTAGATGGTGGGCTAGGGTCTAGCGCCTAGGCAGCTAGGCGGGCGCCTCTGCGGACTAGGCGGATTTAAGTAAATTTATTTTATTTTGTGTAAATAAGTGTCTGTTTATACTTAAAATATATATAATTTCATCATAAACTATAAAATAAAATAACATATATATTATGAAGTATTGGAACATAATGAAAACATGGGGAGCAAACATGTAATGTATGTTTATTTAAGTATTCAATAAGTCTCTTACAATTTATTGGAAACAATAAAATACAAAGGGAAAGTTATCTATTTTCTATCTAAGTGAGTTGCAATTTAGGCAGGTGTCTAGGCAGGTCGGGGCGGGTGCTTAGGTGGTCTAGGCAAGCGCCTCAGCAGGTCTAGGAGCCCTTTCTTAATTTTCAAACGTCTAAGCATTAATCGGGGTGGGGCCTAGGCGGTGCTAGATGGGGATTTTTAGAACAATGCTTTAAATTATGGGAAAGGATTCTCGCGGGATCCTTTTCCTAGGGATCCAATGATCGTGACCGTTCATCTTACATCGTGCGGTCAGAAATCATTTCAAAATTTAAAATTCAAAAAATTAAGTATAAATAGTATCTAACAAAAACTGACCGCATGATGTACGATGAACGATTACGGGATTCCTAGAATCCCTAGGACAAGAATCTGGCAAGGATCCTTTTCCTTAAATTATTACAAGACATGGTATATATATCAAAACAAATTATACCAAAATATTAAAAAGCTCGACCCTTTGTGTAAAAAAGTTGTCAATTCTTTGCACACAAAATCACATTTTTAACACATGCACATAAATTTGCCTAGTATTATAGAGGTTCTTCACGCATTGATGAAGTTTCCTAATGGATAGATTTGTTTTGATTGTGAAAATAATAATTATAAATGTGTCAGACTATGATTTGTAGTGAGTCGGAAACAATCAATATTCACCAAAATATAAGCAAGTACTGTATATATATATATATATATATATATATATATATATATATATATATATATATATTAGGCAAATACTGTATATATATATACACACACACACAGTATCAATGCAGGAAGTATGATTCTCTTCCTCCAAATTCCTTCCCCTCTTCCCTCATTTTCCACTTTGTCTTTCTCTCTTTATAAAGAAATTAACACAAAATATTAACGTGACTTAATTCTGACTGTTTAAATTGGAGGAAAGGAAAGGAAAAGAGAATTTGGAGGGGAAAGAGCCGTACTCTCAATGCATATGGCATTGTTATCTGGAAGAATGAATTTGGCAGGTAATATTGAGCAGGAAGCAAGAAAGCAAAGCCTGCAACCCCATCTGGCATAAGCAATGACGCCCCACAGATGATCATGGCACAACCACCCCAACAACTAAAACACCCCCACATTCCCTCTCTTGGTTTTTGGACATGGCACACTTGCCACACTTGATATAGTCCAGACTGTTAAAGCTTGCAATCTTTTTGCCTCCACATTTATTTAACTTCCGTCACATGTCCTTTTCATCCAGCTACTCCACCTTCCACACAAAATGAGCTTCCTCCTTCGACTACTGGGGCGAGGAGTGAGTGAGAAGAGAATATATCCTACCACCAGAGATAGAGGAATAGGAGGCGAGGTGTGCGTGAGAAGAGAATCTGTCCTACAACCGGAGATGTATCTTGTAATTTGTGAGTGTTGTAAGCAGAAGACAGTTTATGCCTCGCTTAGAACATATTTTATCGTATTTATGCAAGTTAATTTGCCATATAACCGAGCATACATCTAGTCATTGGTGAGTCCTCAAAACACGAGGATTATCCGTGATGACAAGTTATTTTTTTGTGTGAGGCAAGTTAATCTATCATACAATCGAAGATATATCTAGTCGCTAATGAGTGGTAAGCACAAGAGGACTTTCCCCCAAATGTCAACATTTTTTTTCGTGTGAGAAGTTGTCGACTGCGATGTATGTGCGGTTTCTAGAGCAAGGAGAGACAAATACTAACAATGATCAAAACAACTTTCCAAAAAAGCACTTATTGTGGTTCTTAATCTTATGATCCAACAGGCCCAAAAAATAGGGGGCTGTGGGGGAGCAATTTAAGCAAATTGGATCATATGGGCTTTGCCAACCCTAACTCAAGTTCAATGATAAAAGCTTCCTCGCTGACAAATTAACAAGATAAATAATCAGTTGGATGAAGGGTTTAGGGAAATAGAGCCTTACATTACACACCTCCAAGAAAGTTATTAAGCTACTACATCGTTACACGAAGATGCAGGTGGAATATAGGAAAATTTCACTACATCAGAGTAAAATCGAACTCGCTAAAGGACTTCGGAAACTCTGATATCCATATTTCTTGACAAATTATATAGCAGTCGTAGCATTTATTCCATCATCGGAATTGACCCGCCAGCAGCCACGATCTGTTGCTCCAACTATAAACCAAAGGGACAAAGTCAATGAATGGATGAGATATAGGCAGCGAAGCTAATGTCAAATCCAAACTGAGATTGTCCGTGGCAGCAGTTCAAGGATACTTTCGAGGATAGTAAGGGATGAACATGTCAAAGAGTAGAACATAAGTTATCGCCCGAGCTCACAAGCATGGAATACACCGAGGAATTCCTTTAGATAATAAAAAAGCATCGCGGAAAATGCAAGCTACCTTAAGTAACATTTTCACGTACTTACCCTAAATAAATTTTCAAGCTTGTTCTTCAGTGCAGTGCTCTCTTGCTGCAGTTGTTGCAAACATCTCAAACACCTACACAAAACATTATTGAGTTGCATTTACATGCAAATGCCATGCTACAAACCCTTTCTTCATCGCAAGGGTTGAGTTCAAACACAAATGAAATACAAGTCCAACACAAGATACCAAAATTTCAAATTCTAGTCCGAAAAGTGATTGTAGCGTTAATGAAAGGAGGAGCATACGCATTGACAAATTTCCAATTGATGGTATCTCTTCTCAAGAAACAAGTGGGCTATGCAAAATTGTGCTCAAAACAGCTAGAGACTCAAGCTAGAATAAATCCATCTCGCGATTTAGGGTGCAAATTTGTGTCAAGGCCCTAAACTGAGACACCACTTTTTGAAGTAATAAGTGGCTAAATTCTGAAGATTTTATTCAGAGAAAACACATTGAGAAAATCACCATGAAGCAAAAACACTTACCCTTCAAGGTTCTGAGCCTCACAAAAATTTCTGAAGTTGATGCATACATTTTTAAGTCTGAATGCACCTATCCTGCAAACCAACGGAATCAATGTCCAATTAAAAAACTTCAAAAAACAACAAAAGTACAATTTTTTTGCAATAGCTGACATTGGTGCTCTAAGTTTCAATTAACAAGCAGACCAGTTCTCAGATTTTCAAAGCACTATCGTTTGAGGCAAGCGAGGAATTCGAGTTGAAAGAGAAGAGACTTTCAAATAATAAGGAAAAAGAGCTTGGAATTACCAGGCACTGCTACCCTTGAATTGATGGACATAGGCATCTACCTGTTTGAAATTTACAACGTTCTGTTCTCTACGAAAAATAAACGAAACCCAAATTAACATTGTTTTCGCACAGCTACCACCAAACAAAATTTGTCCGAAAGTGAAGCAAATCAAAGAATATCACTCAAGGTTAAGACAAAAGAAGAACTCACAGAGCCCTGGCCATATTGTTGAAAAGCTTCTCGGAATCTTGAAAGAAAAGAGAAACAACTTCAACTACAAAATCCGGGCTGTTTTCATCCTGCAGCTTCTTTAGTTGTGCAAACTGATCGTCCAAGAATCCCTTTTCACCACAACCAGAAACCCCACAATCAAAGTTTACTTCAACGGCACAGCAGTTTTGAACCACAAATGGAAGTATTTTAGGGAAATTACGTCTGACTATCCAGTAATTTCTATAAACATTTCACCCTTTTAATCTGAAAGTTCCTAACTTTACACGCGAACTAATCATATACACCAAAAATTAAGTTGCTTTTGGTGAAATTAACAATACCCATAAAAAATTTCCACTGAAAACAAACAGTTAGCCGGCAGAGAACCCAGAAAACATTCTACGGAAACAAACAGATACCAGCGGAGAAACCCCAGAAAATTTTCCATGGAAACAAACAGATGTCAGCAGAGAAACCCCAAAAAACTTTCCATAGAAACAAACAGAGGTCAGCAGAGAAAACCCAGTAGAGATTAACTAAAACATCAAAGAAGAAAGGGAAAAAAAATCAGAAACCTCTCGGCGCAGATACTGAGTGTAGTCAAACCACTGATTCCTCCACTGAGCCACGGCGTCCATGGTAGCCTTCTCGCTCACTTCCTAGAAGCACAGCGGCGAGTTTTTGACTCCGCGCTCGACTCGGGAGCAGTAATGCGGAATGGAGCAGATCTTATATAATTTGTGTTGGAGAAAAAACGGGTTATAAATGTGTGGAAATTGAAATGGAAAGGCTCTTTCTTTTTCTTGAAAGTGAACGTTTCAAAGGAAAACGTCTTTAGCGACAAAATACTGAGTGACTGACAGATTGACAGACGTTGCCAGGGAGGGAAGGTTATTGTCAACGTCAACGGAATAGCCTCTACTTTATTTAATCTCCCAAATACTATAAATATTTGCTATCTTAGTCAATTACCAAATAAAAAAATAGTTTATCCTTAATCAATTGTTTGTTGATTTTTTTTTTTTTTCAATTAATATTGCTTTACAGTAATCAGAGAGATGTGTTAAGTTTGAATATTGTGAATAACACGAATTCAACATCAATTTATTTCTTTAATGCTCACGTGATACGCTATTTTCAAATAAAACATGCACATTTCAAAAAGAATGCGAATATCTAATTTGGATTCATTAATCCTTTTGAAAAATTTGCCTGAATAAATTTTTTACTTTTATAATAAAAGCAATAGTGTATAATAAAATAATCTAAATTACGTTGCATAGTTAAAAGAGTCCGTGACAAAATGGCTTTGACAACTTCAATTATAGGAGGGACACACGGCAGCAGCCGCCGCCGCCACCACCACACAAGTCGTATGAGGTGTCCTCCTCATGACTAATTTGGTATTCTGCGACCAAAACACAAACTACTTAAAGTTGAGGCCTAAATCAAATAACCAATCAATACGATTCTATATGGAGGATCCATATCCAAACCCACGTAAGCACTGATAAAATGTTGCCCATAGTTTTTCGAAAACTTGGCATACGAATTGTTTGGGACTATTTGGAGCTTTATTACGCCACTTAGAGCTAGTTTGGTATTGCTGTATTTTAAAAAAAAACTACTTCTGCTGTGCTGTGAGAATAAGCAGTTGTGAAATAAAGCAGCAGAGTATTTGGTAAACTTTTTTGTAAAAGTGCTTTTGAAAAAAAAAAGCACTTTCATAGTGTTTGGTAAACTTTTATGTAAAACAAATATAAAAAAAAAAGCCAATTTTTCAAAGCTGGGTTTTGCAGCTTCTTGTTTTTGGCTTTTTTTTCACCCAAAACTGTGAAAAAAAAATGAAGCTGAATGTTTACCAAACACAAAAACAGAATCCAGCTTTTTTTTATACCAGCTTTTTTTGGAATCACCTCAGTACCAAACCAGGCCTTAGTACTACAATCTAATGATATTTCTCTTTATTTGGAAGTGAAAGATCTTAAGTTTGAATCTCATGGATGGCGAATTCAATACTAAATTAAATTACTTATTATGTGGCTTAGCAGAACTCTCCCTCTTTCTAGTGTAAAAATATCAATGTACTAAAAAAAAAATTTTAAACTCCGTTACTTTAGGAAAACCCTCCATCCAATAAGCAATCAAATCTAAAATTAGTTTATGGGTTTTACTTTTAAAGAAATTGTAGTGTAATGTGTATGCATGCCATGGATTTAAATTTCGCGAACGTATTCAATTTAACGACATTTAATTTTCGTTTTGTCAAGACCTTGATGTTACTTTCTATTTTGTTGAGAAATTTTAAGTTCAATAAACGATTGTCGCTCATAACTTTCAATTTTGTGAAAATTACAAGTTTTGGTATTTGCTTATTGCATGCAGGCCCATATTACTGTGGCAAAAATCCACCAGGTCATAATCTAGTTGCGCTTCTCCTCCCGTTGGAGGATGTCAATTCAAGAACCGGATCCCCTTCTGATTCTGAGCATGGGCATTAGAGTCAGTTGAGCAGCCCATTTGGATCCTTGAAATTTAATCCAACGGCTACAAATAGAGGACTTCTCTAAAAATTTTAATAACTACAGCCGTTGAATCAATTTCAAAAGCCCAGATGGGCTGCTCAGCAGGCTCTTATCCCCATGCTCAAGAGGGGATCCGGTTCCGTCAATTCAAACCCCACCCCCGCCACCAATTAAGATTGAAGATGTCCTGAATTAACCATAAAACATCGTACCATCGCACAGGCAGCGAGTTTCATGGTTAATTCTAGCATAACTTTTACACCTTCCAGTAAACTAGTTTAGTTATGAGAATGCACACCTTACCATCAAACCGTGTACTTTTTTCTCATTTCTTTCTCTTTTTTTGGGGTTTCCATTTCATCATATCAGAAGAATAAAAGTATAGTTGTACAAACTTGGAGAGAACTTTGTTTCATACCAAATTTATCTGTACAGGACATAAGAGGACGATCGGCGAATAGTTCAACGCGAGCAATACCACTTCCAAAATCCACTTTCTACAAACCCTTGTCAACCCACAGCTAACCACAATCCATAAAAAAATTTGAATTTCCATCTATAATATGTACAATTCCGAGAGTGAGAAGAGAAGTCACCTTTGCTTTGGCAACACGTTTACGTCGTGCATTTCTTATTGATTGTCGGAATAGGCAACACGCAGCTTTGTACTTATAGATCAACCTGCAAAAAGAAAAATACAATGAGATCGTTGCTATCAACTCATCTAAACATATCGTTGAAATTTAAAAGTTATCTTGTGCGATGATGTAGTGTGGCAATAGCTTTGGATTTTAACCTCCATCAGAAAAGGCAAATATGCCTCCAAGCATTTCACCATCTTCCGCGTCTTCGGGTTTCACCTTATCGCAGTGGCTACTGTCGCTGTCAACATCGTCACCTACGACTTCAGTTAGCCCATTGCATCCATTCTTCTCCAGTGCATTACAATGCTCCTCCTGGAAAAACTGTGAAAGATCTATCGGATGCTGCAAAGTGGAAGCCCCCTCTGCCACGATATCGGTACTCGAAGCATGTTGATCAGAGTATAAAACCGAGACCTCCCTGACCCCAATTACTTTAAATGCTGGGCCTTCTTCAGCAGAAACTCTTCCTCCTGAACTCAATTTACTTTCTAACACAGGCAAACAGTTGGTGACACAGCCGTTGACTTGAGAATCGATGTTCTTAAAATGTTCAGATGGAGTACGCCGAATGCTGAAAGATACATGGTTTTCTAACGAAGGCTCAACAATTGTATTGGCTCTTCTTTCTGCGCCATCCAAGGTCTGATACACTGTTGTGCGGGGCTTCTCATTGTTTATTTGATCCAAATCGAGAAAATGCTCAATTCTTCTTGACGAACCTGATATAGATTCAAAATGGTAATTATGTGGAACAATTAGTTAAAATGATCAGAATGGAATATCATCTATAAGAAAGAATTTTATAAGAGGCCCAACATACGGGTTTACTTACCCCCATCTGAGCTTTCAGTGGAGCTAAGTGATGCAGGCTTCGAGTGACATATAACAGTCTCTTCCAAGGTCTTGTCTTCAGCTTGATGAGGTGGCAAAGTATGACTGGGATACGTCCCACCAGCAAGGCTTCTGAATCATACAATGAAGCGAGCATTTAACAAGAATCAGAATGGTTGAAGGACGAAAGACACGAATGAAACACATAACAGTATTGTGCCCTCGGCCTGGTAAGCTCAGGCACCAGCATCTCAAAGGATCAAAGCACTTATATTATTTCGATTATAGAGTCACTACAATGTGTGGGAACTATAGATAAAACGGTCGTCACCTGTCATCCCAGCTTGATTTGATGAAATGGAACTGCTCAAAAACAGGCAACAAATCCTTCTGTCTCATTTCAATTTCATGAACAGGGACCTTTTCAGTTTCGAACTCTCCACCGGTGAAACTATCAGCTCTTGGACAGCCCATCCTGTAAAAACAAATCTAGAACAGAAAAAAAGTAAATTACCACCAAAACAGAGAAAAATATTAACTGGATATGTAACCTTGAAACAAGAACTACCTTAGACTTTTGCCATATTGGTAATCTCAAAGAACTGATTTGCACCTCTGCATTAGAGAGGTACCAGTGGGACCTATCATGGACCTTCCCAGAATAAGTTTCCAGTCTCCTTTCGCCCCCAACAGCACCATTTAAGTCTAGAGATTCCATTCTATGAGTACCATCAGAACCTGATTTGTTCTGGATTATGTCAGCCACCTCTTGTCTATCGGATGTGGTACCAAAACTACTGTCCTCCCTTTCTGGCCAGTCTGACCGCCTACACACGTCCCACCATTGAATAGGTTCAACTTTCAATCTCAGCTCTTCGTCCTGCATATGCATAGACGTGGCTGCCTGGGTACTTAGACCGCTATGACTCTGTTCTACCCCTATCCTTGGCTGAAGTTCATGTTGAACTACATGACCCGACGGAGTATAAACTAATAGATGTTCCAAGGTACTCTTCCTTGAGTTACTGTGCTGAAGACTCTGACATAAAGAATTATGAAAAACTGCAGCAACAGCACCAGAAGGCACAAAGACCTTCCCTGTTGCTGAAGCAGTGGCATTGTTGACTGTGCTAAGCCATCCAAAACTACTGTACTTTATCCTGCTCACCACGGAAAGAGCAACAGGTGGTGGCGGTGGAAAAGATTGTTGATTAATGATGCAAGAAGAAGCAGACCACCAAGGTAGGGTTAAAATTGGGCACAGGGAGGGTTCTTCACCGTGATTGTTAGGAAGCCGAAATCCAGCATCACCACCAAAAGGGGATAAAACAAAAACATGGCAGGTCCCCTTGGACGAAACAATAGCAACCCACTGACTGTAATGACTAAAGCAAATGTCCTGGATCATCTGTCAAATGATAAAAATTTAGAAAAATGCATGGATAGAAAATACAACAAAAATTACAGAAAAGAACTGAATGAACATCTTCAAAACTCCATATATACTAACAGCTGATAATATTCCACGATGCAGTTTGTAAAGATGCACATGAGAAGAGCTCCAATCGAAGTTTTGAACACCTGATCCACTGCGTTTGCATGAAGGCATTATCCGAAAAATATTAATATTATTTCCATATACTGAGGCAGTAACGAGAAGGGTCCCACTAGGATCGAAACACAGTGCAGATATTGGACTAGTATGAGCTTTAAACTGCGATATAACAG